CCGCTATCAAAAGCACACAGTTTATCTCGGATATGGATTTTGCAATTAGCTAACTACTTGATGAGCACTGAACGAAAATACTGGTCCTCTCTGAAGTGTGTCGTTGACGTGTTGACTAACGTGCGTTTCTCTTGTCTGTTTGCAGCGTGGAGCCGGCGGTCGCCCCAGCAGCAGCATGTGATTGGCTCGCCATGCCCACTCCGCAGGACGATGGCAGTCTGCTAGACGAGCACCGCGGCCCCGGCCCCGGCTGTAGCCCCGGCCAGGACACGACCATGAGTCCCGAGGAGGAGACGGCCGCGCCGCCCGCCGCCCTGATGGCCGCGTCCAGGCAGGCGGACGAGGAGCGGAGGGTCACCTCCCCGGCGAGCGGCAGCAAGTACGACGACGTGCCCAGCACCACCCTGGCGGCGAGCCTGGCGGAGCACAAGGAGGACAAGACGGAGGCGGCGGCCACCAGCCAGCCCAGCGCGGACGCGGAGGACTCGTGGGGGACCAACGACGTGGAGAAGTTCGACGGCAAGATCGTGTACAACCCGGACGGCTCGGCCTACATCATCGAGGACAGCGAGCTCAGCGAAGAGGAGATCGGCGACGGCTGCATCGTGGACGGGCGGGGAGTTAGCCTGCCCGAGCAAAGCCAGGTGTTCCCGCAGATCGCCAACGCGTTCTACGTCAGCAGGAACCCGGCGTTGTACTCGGCGCTGTTCGGCCAGCAGCAGCAACAACACCAGCAGCAGCAGGCGGCGCTGGCCAGCAGGCACCAGGCCCCCGAGGCGCCCGTCATGCACAGCTACCGCGTGTACTCGGTGCGTGACAACAAGGCCGAGGACAAGGAAGAGGGCAAGGACGGCGGCGCGCGCAAACAGCTCAAGATCCCCGCGCAGGAGGCTGCCTCGGTGCCCGTCAAGCCCATCCTCATGTGCTTCATCTGCAAGCTGTCGTTCGGCTACACCAAGTCGTTTGTGGCCCACGCCATGGGCGACCACAACCTGGTGTTGCGGGAGGACGAGAAGGAGATCCTCAGCCAGCAGAACGCGTCGGCCATCATCCAGGTGGTCGGCAAGGAGAAAGAGCCCCTCCTGTCCTTCCTCGAGCCCGTGCCTCCGTCAAGACCGCAGCAGGACGCCGAGCACCGGGACCTCCGCGACCGCGACGACGTGGAGGCGCAGTCTCTCGTCGTGCACCGGAGGTCGGTGGACCGGTCGAGCGCGTCACCTCAGCGCCCCACCCCGCAGCAGTCGCCCCAGCACCATGACCGGCCGCGGTTACCTCAAGTTCCTGAGACGTCCCCAGTCTCCCTGCCCCAAAACGGCAGTAACAATAGTAACAATTTTCTCAACTACAACCACCAGAGGCTGATGGTCAATGGCCTCAACAGCGTCATGGACCTAACTAGAAAGAGTCCCGGGGGCCCGCCCTCGGGGCCGCCGTCCCACGGCCGCAACAGCGTGTCGCCGGGCGCCAGCCCCAGCCCCAGCCCCCTGCAGCTGTCCAACCCCTTCGCGCCGCCCCCGCCAAGCTTCCTCACCGGCACCACCATCGGCGTGTGCCCAGACCACATTGGCGGCCGGCCCAGCGGCGTGGAGTGCACCAAGTGCGAGCTCATCCTCAGCTCCTCGCGGCTGGGCGGGCCGCTCGCCAACATGCACTCGCGGAACTCGTGCAAAACGCTCAAGTGCCCCAAGTGCAATTGGCACTACAAGTACCAGGAGACGCTCGAGATCCACATGAAGGAGAAGCACCCCGAGACGGAGACGTCGTGCCTGTACTGCATAGCGGGCCAGCCGCACCCCCGGCTGGCGCGCGGCGAGACCTACACCTGTGGGTACAAGCCGTACCGCTGCGAGGTGTGCAACTACTCGACCACGACCAAGGGCAACCTGAGCATCCACATGCAGTCCGACAAGCATCTCAACAACATGCAGGAGCTGCAGAACGGCGGCGTCAATAGCGCGGAGGTGCTGTCGCACCCTGCGCTGCAGACGCCGCCGCCCAAGTCGGCCGTGGGGCTGTCATCGCCCAGCGTGCCGTCGGCGCAGTCGCAGAAGCCCAAGCCCACCTTCCGCTGCGACGTCTGCAACTACGAGACCAACGTGGCGCGCAACCTGCGCATCCACATGACGTCCGAGAAGCACACGCACAACATGATGGTGCTGCAGCAGTCCATGAAGCACATGCAGACGCTGAGCGCGCTGCAGCAGTCCCACCAGCAGCAGCTCTCGCTCGAGTCCCTGCTGCACTTCCACCCCGGCCTGCTGCCCGGCGGCCTCCCCTCGGGGCTGCCGACCGGCCTGCCCGCCGGGCTGTCCGGCCCGGACAAGCCGCCGCCGCACTCGGAGGCCGCGCTGGCCGACATGGCGTACAACCAGGCGCTGCTCATCCAGATGATGACGGGTGGGCAGATGCCGCCGCACATCCCGCCCGAGCTGGCGCCGCACATGGACATGGGGCTGAACCCCGAGACCATGGAGCCGCCGCCAGGGCCGGCCGACCCCAACCCCACGCACCTGTTCCACTGCTGCGTGTGCAACGCCTTCTCCACCGACTCGCTGGAGCAGCTGTCGCACCACCTGAGCGAGGACAGGACGCGGATACGCGAGCAGGAGATCCTGGCCGTGGTGGCGGGCCACTACGTGTGCAAGCTGTGCTCCTACAAGACCAACCTCAAGGCCAACTTCCAACTCCACTGCAAGACGGACAAGCACCTCCAGAGGCTGCAGCACGTGAACCACGTCAAGGAGGGCGGGCCCCGCAACGAGTGGAAGCTCAAGTACGTCACCAGCCCGGGCGGCATCCAGGTGCGGTGCCACGCCTGCGACTACTACACCAACTCGGCCCACAAGCTGCAGCTGCACGCTGCCGGCCAGCGGCACGAGGCCAGCCACCTGCTCTTCAGGCACCTGCGGGAGTGCGAGGCCGCCCTCCGCGAGGACCACAACACCGCCCCGCGGATCTACCACTGCGCGCTCTGCGGCTTCTCGGCGCGAGCGCGCCTGCCGCTGCTGCAGCACATCCGCTCCATGAAGCACGTGCAGATGGAGCAGCTGCACCAGCTGCAGCGACGCGCCGAGGGCAAGGATGTGCAGACCGACATCGGCGAGATCTTCCAGGTGGTGACTGAGCCCCAGCCGTACTCCGGCGATATGGACTGTGGTGAGTAGACGTGTTTCTTTTTCATTTCTGATCGTACATTACACAAAAATGGCAAATCGATTCCCTCCTGCTATCGCGCGAACTCGCATATGGGTGCAGCCGCCCATTCCGTAGCTTTCAGGTTCAAGTTCAGGTTCGACCGCTTCGTAAAAGCCTCATACGCAGCACTACTAGCTTTTATTGAAAGTGTGGACGTCCGGTCCGAGCAGTCCGACGAGCCGTTGTGGCGGCGTGCCGCGGCGCGGTGCCGTACGGCGCGCGGGCGTTAGCGCGATGTTCGAAATAATCCCCACACCAGGACCGGTTGACATTTCCACCGGCCGAGCCTCTCCAGGCGGGCAGCCGGTACAGGGCGGGGCCCCTGGTGGGGCGGGGCGGGGCGAGGCGTGGCGTGGCGCGGCCAGCCGCCGCTGCGGCGGCGTTGGATATTTCGAATCGCGCGGGACAATGTCCTGTTTCTCCTTCTCACTCGCGCTAATTAGACGCGCCATCTTGACGCCTCGCGCTCGCTCCACGACATTAAGTGGTCCCCCACCCTGTCGACGCCGCTAGAGCTGACGGTGTCTGAATAAAACGTCCACATTCCTACTTCAAGGGGGGAAAAGGCAGAAATAAATTTGTTTCTTTGAGGGAATTAATTCCCCTAATGCCGCCATCGTGTTTACATATCTGGCTGATGCGATGTCTATCGCGCTGTCCACACGTTTATTGTGAATCAGGATTGGCGAAATGTTAATTCAACCAGAAATGTATACAACCTCTCTGAGGCAGATGTCCTCTTTCGGCCATAAAAACAAATTCCTGTCGGCCAAGTGTGAAAGCAGCTCTACTCATACGGCCCCCTATCAGCGCGTGTGCTTTGACAGTTCGGTCAGGCAGAGGAACGGGTTCGAGACGACCTACCCGGGTTTTGTCTCGAGCGCGACGCCAGAGAATATCTCATCACTGGCGGTCCTCATCGGAAGATGACACTGGCCCTGGCCCGTCGGCCGTTCCAGTTTGTTGTTCGTCTGGACTGCCGTGTCAAGGTGGGGTGGTCGGTTGGGTCAAGAGATGTGTAGGCGAGGATTTGTTAAACTTTTTTGCTTGTTTTGCGACATAGTACCCGTGCGCATGGCCCCGAAGATTGCAGGTTTCTTAATTTTTTCTCCCCTCTGACTTGTAAATTATTTCAAGTTATGATTCTCCCCTCCATAACTCCGATTTGGATGCCGGAGTGCGAAAACACATCGGGACGCGGTTAATCCTAAGAAATGTTCCGTTTTGGAGCGGGACAGGTTCTCTTTCAGACTATCACAGGGCGTAATGTATGTGTGCGTACCCGTGTGTGTCGGTGTGTGTCGCGGATCCGGTTTTGTACACGGATCCCAAATGAAGGAATCATGCTCCAGGAGGGGCACGTACCGATATCCGCACTCCCGATTGATCAGGCTGAAAAATTTGCTTCGTAAATCCCCTCTACTTGGGGCCGAGATCTTAAAATACTCACGGCATGAACGGATCCCGACGGCTTGTCCATACTGAACACTCGCAGACTTTATGCGTTTGCCCGCCTGTGTGTATGTTCCTGTGCGTATGTGTGAGTGCATCGGTGCAGAACCTACTGCACCCAATAACCGTTTAAACATTTTCCTCCACTCCTTCACACTTGTTTTTATAGCCAGGCGGGCATATTTCATGGCAACGTTCCGTTGATGTGTTCGGTTCGACATGTATACGCGTCTCCGTCGCACTCGCTGCTCCCTCCTTGTCGCAACCCACCGCAGCGCGGTCGCACCTTTCTGCATTTTTTGTGCCCCCC